GTATATTATATAAAGAGAAATTAGGCAGATATTGTGTGTGTGTGTGTGTGTGTGTGTGTGTGTGTGTATATATATATATATATATATATATATATATACCTCATCAAGTACCTAGCTTTGTTCTTTCACAGAAACTTTGGTGAAACTGTCACTTCTCAAAAATGCTGAAAGCGCATGCTAAGGAACAAATGTGTTTATAATAACGAGTGATGAACGAAGTTCTTTGATTTGTGTTCCTCTTTCCATCTAAATTAAAAATGGGTGAAACATTTATGAATTGTTCCATTGTTTCTATAATATGACTAATAGGTAACCATTGTGGCAGAGGACGACTGTAAATTTCTGTGTTGGTCTCGGGAGAGACTCACCTACTTCCTGGAATCAGATACATTCCTTAATGAGGTGTTTAGGTACCTCATTGGTAAAGACATTACCAACAAGCTCTACTCTCTCAATGACCCTACACTCAGTGACAAGGTCGGTACAATAACATTGGGAACAGTTCAATCGTATGGCAGATGATAAAATGATTATTTTGTTGGTTCCCAGGCAGTGAAGAAGATGGACCGCCAGCCCAGTCTCTGTTCCCAGCTATCTATGATGCAAATGCGGAACAGCATGGCCAGCACCAGTGACAGTGACGATGTCCTTAATCAGATCCTAAGAGGAGGATCTACTGGATCCTCCCTCCGTAAGTCACAGTGAGGTGTTCATGGGACACCACCAGACATATAGGATGTGGCTAATTGAAAATATCCCGCTTCGAAAGAAATAGTAGAGAGTTCCAGAGGCTGGGGGCGATGACAGAGAAGGCTTGGTCCCCCCCAAGTTTTGTTTGGACTTTGGACAAGTCCTCATTGACCATTGTTTCAAAATCTTGCCAAAAGTATATGTATGGTGTTTTAGCAAGCAGTGTGAGTCACACAAGTGAATAGTAGAAAGAAATGAATACCATACCAAACCGTACATTAATGATATTTTTATTATAACCATCAATCAGCTCTTCGCAGCTTTTATACAAAAATGATAAATTAATCTATTCTTTCTACCACTCATCATTATTGAACTAGAACAGTACAAGTAATTTATGCACTTAAACACGTTAAACCAAATATTTGTTTTAAGTGAAGCCACTCTGTCAAAAGGCACAGAGGATTATTTCCCTTCAAAAGGCTTTTTACGACTGAAGAGCTCTTTTTGTTTATCACAAAGGCTCTTAACGTTGTAATAAGGAAACTATGTTAAGTAATTAATCAAACAGAAACCACCATCCACTGAAATGTGAATTATTTGGTGTGTTGACAAGGGGTTATCTTGTTTTGTGTTGTCTCAAGATGTCACGCTGTTGCAACAAACGGCAAATTATGTTTTAATATCAAAATACTATTTTTTGTGTTGTTGTCTCTGTCTAGAAAAATCACCAGTTGCCAAGGACTCTGCAAAAATGAAGCCGATTGAGGAAGGTATGGAGGATGATGTTTTTGCTGATTCTCCTCCCAACAAGCCCAACAAGCCCTGCCGTCCTTCTAGCACATCCACTGAGGAAGTGTAACCTGGGGGAAACAAACACACACACACACACACACACACACACACACACACACACACACACACACACACACACCAGCAAGAAAAAGAGACAACATCCAAGACAAATTACATGATCGATGCCAAGAATAAAAGATGAAAGAAATAATTTAGACAATTAATGTTTGTTGTAAGATAGTATATTGAAATGTATTTTGTTTTACATATCGGATGTCATCACTCTTTATATTGTGGGCATTTTTCAATGACTAGCAATATTTTGGTCTGTGCAGTGCCTGTTAATTAAAGTTTGTTCAATTCTATTAGCTGTCTAATTTTTATGAAAATGTCTTCCTGACCAAGCTGTTCTGAATTTTGTGGGATTGTGACATAACAGTATGGGTACATAATAATCTCCCCCGCGCCTCCGTACCCACCTATTTTCTCCACCCATGATGTGGCAGCTAAATTGGATGAAGATTTTCCGCTTTCATGTCACAGCAGGACAATAATTATCTTAAAAACAAGGCCAGTAAGTTAGCACAGTATCAGTGTTTTTTGATGTCAATCATCTCTGCACACTGTCCCCTCCCAAGAGAAAAATATTCTGTCATAACACTGGATACACAGATCAGTCATAGCTAACCAAGTGAGCCTCTGGTAAGCGGCACATACTTGATTGTCCACTGAGGCAAGTGAGGGGTTTTTATGGTGGGCGAGCTATCCTCTGTGTGCGCCACATATGTTTCTCTCCCGCCCTTACTTTCCCTATCCTCTGGCTTCATTCTAACCTCCTGCTGCATTTTCTTCCAAAAATTAAATAATGGAATTGATTAGCTGGTCTCTCAAGACAATTGATCTTTCACGACAATTTTCTTAATAAAAAGGGCAGAAAAGGGGAAAGCTGTTTGTTGCTGCTGTGTATACTTTGGACTTCTGGACGATAGTATGCCTGTTGATACTTTCTGTAGAGGATGTAGAATGATGCATACATTATTGGAACAGTTATCCTGTTAATTGGATCTAGGAGTCTTTTGATTTATCACAAAATTCAGGGGACGCAGCCAGCTTCATTGGAAATGGGCAAGTGGCCAGTCATGCTTGATGGTTTGGTGATCAACACTCAAACTCAGGCAATGAGTGAAGTCAATCGCAGCTTGAATGCGATTCCCGAAACACTTTGCAAAGGGGATTCCAACCTGTTTCCAAAGCAAACATGATTTATCTCTTAGATGATGATGCTGAGATGCTGGAGCCCTCCTTATCTCGCTACCCCCTTAACCTCCTGTGCCCCGCATTCCTATTTGGGAGCCAACCGAGGTCATCTCCACGGGAACAATACGATGTGTTGGCATGGAGGCTGGGACAGGGGACACAGACTCACGCATACGCACTCATATGATATTAAAAAAAAAAAAAAAATGCGATACAAATCCGAGCTACCTTACACTTTCCATTGGCTTCCCCCCCAAACCATCTCCATTCCTCTATTACAGCGCAATTGCAGAGGGGATGCGGTGGTGCCTCCATGACTTGCGAAACCTGCTCACTGCATCTGGCCTGTAAC